AATAGAGATTTCGGGTTATACTGCTATATCGAATGAGCCTACAGGATCACACATGCAGGGAAGGACGAAACGCACGAGAAAACGACCGAAAAACCATGACGGAAGGGTCTGGAACGTACGGACCAGAAGTCCGGAACGGACGGTCCGCCAAGTCCAGACCCAACGGTCTGCGAATAGTCACAGACCGTCCATTCTAAGTGTTGGAACGGACGGTCCGCGTTGATAACAGACCGTCCGTTCTGGCTTTCTGGGACGGACGTTCCACGTGTTTCGACATGGAACGGACGGTCTACATGTAATTCTGGACCGTCCGTTCCGGGTTTCGGGTTTTTCGGAAATTAGACCGAATTAGGGTTAAATCACCTTATAAGAAGGAGATTAAAACCCTAATCGTTTAAGAGACTTAGAGAGCCGTCTGGTACAGAACTTGGAGAGCTTTTGGTGAGATCCAAAGAGTTCTAAGAGTTCCAAGTCTTGTTTTCTCGAAGCATCAAACCGAATAGCAGATTCGGGTCCTAGCAGACAAGTTCCAATAGTTGGAATCCATCCCGAGGTGTGGATACTTGTAGAGGGTGAGGTATTTTTCATCTCTTTCGTGATCAGACGAATTCTTCAATTGATACAGACCCCGGATCGATTGAGGTAAGCGTTCTAACGTTTCTACGAATCATAGAAGCATGGTTCTAGGGTTTATTAAATTTTTGTTTTACATCCGCTGCGCAAACCCTAGAATCGATCTCTTAGGAATAGGATTCGCTCTAGAGATCCCAGGAAACCCAACAGTGGTATCAGAGCCTGGTTGCTCTGTTTTGATTTCGTAGAACCCAATCACGCACGTTTTAGAATTTGAATCGTTTGAATCCATGTTTGCTTTGAATTCTATGCATGTTTGATGATTGAATCTATGGTAGATTGCATGTTTCATGTTGCATAGAGTGCAGGAGTTTGAATTTTGGGTCCACAGGTGAATTTGGATCGGTTTCGGGTCTGATCGGGACTGAGAACACCGGAGAACGTGAACTGATCACGTGGACGAATCCTAGACCGTCCGTTCTGGGTAAGCTAGACCGGACGGTCCGTGGTGGCGGACTGCATAGATCAGAACGGATGGTCCGCACTGGACCGTCCGTTCCGTCTGCTACGGACCGTCCGTTCCGGCTGGTTGAGACCGTCCTAACGGCTGGTTGAGACCGTCCGTTCTGCTGTCATGGACCATCCGTTCCGCCAACTGCAGACCGTCCGTTCTGTGTTGTTTCATCGTGGAACGTCCGTTCTGACTTCTGAAGTCGGACCGCTCGTTCTGCGAAGCATGGAACGTCCGTTCTATGTCTAGAACGGACGGTCCGAGGTCCAGATTCCGAAAAATTTCGTTTTCTAAGTCCGATTATGCAATCGTTGCTTAATCTGATTGACTGTAACTCAAATAGACATGATTCATTCGTATGGATGGTCCATAGTGAATGGATGCATGTAACTTGATCAAGATATGGGATATGCTTGATTGAGTTGGAGCTTCGAGATTGGGATTGCATAATCGTGTTGGTTGTAATGCTCTACGATGATCCGTGATATGACATTTTGACTATGTATTGATTCATTGGTTTATGAATGCATTACTTTTCCCATTATATGATTAGCATGTTTGTTATATTACGGTAAATATCCTTGAATCATTGCAGATGATTCTAAACTCCCTGGTCAGTTATCATTGTGGGAACAATGATGAATTAAGACCAGCATGATGTGTGATAGATGATTATGATCATGTGCATTGGATGCAAATCACAATCATGGGTTCTCGTTTGGAACGAGTTACTTGATGACCCGCATGAGATTGTCACATGGACATGAGTCATGACTTGAATCTCATACAACGGTTCGTTCTTGGATCCTCAGACCTGAGATGTCTAGAGTATCTGATATGAGGAGTGACGTGTCTTGACTGCGTCAAACGTCGTCTTTAACCGGATGATCATAACGGCGTTGCTCAGATACGTTCACGAATCATATGCAGATAGTAGACATGCAATACGGGACTTGTCACCTCCTACGCAGGAGAGATGTCACTGGGCCCCTCGTGGAAATCGGACTGTGAAAATGCGTGGCCACGCTATAGATGAATGTACATCTATTTTATCAGTCGGTTTGCCTAGACGAGTAAGCGGTTGAACTTGAAGGGTGGCTCATACCATGCCCTTGTTCAACATACGACATCGTGAGACAAAGGATCAGAACTCGAACTATTGCTGGCTTTGTTAGATCACCTCTAACTCTATTCTAGGGGGTGGTCATGGCATCTTGCTAGAGGCTAACTATGACTTGTGGTTCGGGAAAGGGTTTCCGAAACCACTACCACTTCGAATGGGCCTACAGGATCACACACC